AAGTGTATAATAAAATATAATGAATCGTATTTATGGAAAAAGACACCGTCTGAGATTTATGCTTCATTAAATATTTATTTAGTTTCATTTTCTTTTTCTTTTTTGGTTATAATTTTTCCGCTCTTCTTTCACTAAGAAACAAAGTGTATTGTATTTTTTACCATACTATAATGTAAATAATTCATTTCGAATAAAATTTTAACTAATTGTAAGAGAAAAAAAAATTTTCTAAACCATTTTTTAAAAATAAATTTAAAAAATTTTTTGGAACAAAAAAATAAACAGATCAAAAAATTAAAAAAATTTTCAAAATCTAAAAAATAATTTTTTTTTTTTTTTAAATATAATAAGAGTTGAATATATATATTTTTTTCATCTCATTCTATGAAGGAAAAATTTTTATTTGAAAATTTTGTTACATTCTACTCTACTTTTATAAATATTTGCTCTTTCGAAAAAAAAGAAAGAAGAGAGGAAAAAACCTCCCCTTACCTTAAACCCCCCCCCCTCCTTCCACCGGTTAAACTTTATAAATCGATATAAGAGGTGAATTGAAATCCTCCATGAAAGAAATTCTTTAAACGAATTTCGCAGAAGGAGCTTTCGATAATATTTCCCCGAGCATCGAGAGAAAATCCCCATTTTCGTGTACCGCTCGTAAATTTTCCGGACATTATCGAAAAATGTTCCTCCCGAAAAATCCCTAAAGCCAAAAAAAAGAAAAAAAAATAAAAAAAATAATAACCGGAAGTACCTGAGAATTTTTGTTGAGATAAATTATGAGCCCCTTTTTTTCAACGCCTGTTTTCAATTTTATTACAAAACTAAAACCAAAAAAAAACAAACAAAATATATTTTGAAATAAATTTCAATTTTTTTTATTTCTATTATTAAAAAATTGGGTTACAAATTTTTTTCATTTTAAAAAAGTGTTTTTTTATGACAAAAAAAATTTGTCAAAGAAGAGTAAAAAAATTTGGGGTTTTTGCTAAATTATTGAAAAAAACAAATTTTTTCGGGCACTGGATTTTTTGAATTTTGATTTTATTTTTAAAAAAATGAAAAAAATGTAACGAGAAAAAGGACATTAAATTAGAAAAAAAGTAAAAACAAAATTTGACTTTTTTGGTAAAATTTTTCAAAAAAAATTTCCGGGCAATATTTTTTTTTATTTTTAATTTCTAGGATTTCATATGAACAAATGGAAAAATTTTTAAGAAAACCCGTCTTGAAATAGAAAAATAAAATGCAAAAAGAGCAAACAATTTTATTTTTTTGATAAGTTTTTGCAATTCCGAGCAATTTTTTATTTTAATTTCAAGAAAATATTATTCTCTTGGAAAATAGAAAAAATTTTCAGGAAATTTCACATTAAATTTGAAAACAATTCCAAAAGAAAGAGAAAACTCGAATTTTTTTTTTTAATTTTAGCAAAAAATTTTCCGGGCAATGCTTTTTTATTTTCTAAAATTTTACTATATATGTATATTATATTAAAAAATTCGAATTTAAAAACTATTAATTTGGAAAAAAATTGCAATAAAAAGTTATAAAAAAATATTACTTTATCCAAAAAAAAAAAATTCCGGGCATTGCCTTTCTTTCAATTTCAAAAATTCTATTCTATCCAAAAAAATAGGAGAAAAATAGAAGGAAAATTCGGAATAAATTGAAAAATAAATTTAATTCTCCAAAAACTCAATTTTGCCAAATTATTAAAAAAAAATTTCCGGGCAATCCTTTTTTCTAAATTTAAAAAAAATAGGTATATTTCTTTTTTCTTTATTTTGAAAAAATAGCTTTTTAATTTCAATGTAGAAACGTTCCTAGTGTGTATGTGTATGTATGTATGTATGTGTCGTCGCGAAATGGAACAGTCACGTATGAAAATTTGCCTTTTCCTTTTTCATGCTTTTGTGCTTCCTCGGTATCTGTCTGTTACGGGATTCGTTTCACGTAGAGACGCGTCGACGTGATGGTGAAAAAGTATCAGGGAGGGCGACTGACTGAGTGAGAGAGAGAGAGAAAAAAATCCCTTTCCACCCCCCTCCCCCCAACTTTCGCATAGCGGATTCGAGTAAAAAAAAATCTGCATAGATTTTTTTACGTCGTCCACAAGGGGGAAAGAAAGAAAAAAAAATGAAAGTTCGTCGGTCACGTATGCGAGTAGACGGAAGTGGCATGAGAGAAAGAGAGAGAGAGATGAGGGGGGTAGGGGGGTGTTACTCCTGGAATAATGTGATTCGCAATCGGCGAAAGCGACCAATCGATTCTTTTCACACTTTCCTTTTCTTTGTTTCCCCACTTTTTTTTTTGTTTTTCCACTCATCAGCAGAAAATTGAAAAAAAATTTACAATTTTTACAATTAAATATTTTTTTTATTAAATATTTATTACAAAAAAGTTCAATTTTATTTTTCTCTAGGTTCAATACAAAATCGTGATCCATTTCCGGTTTTACTATATAGCACCCTCTAGGCGCCGTTTGCTCATTTCTCAAAGAAATGACGATGGGGGCGAGGTGAAAGGGGTCGATTTGAAAAATGCTGTGAAATTGCAGTTGGCAACACGCCCTTCGTCTGTCCCTAGAAAAGTACCCGGGCACATTCCCCTGATGACCCAGTGGTGCCTTTGCATTTTTTTTCTTTTATCCACTCCCACAAAAAAGAAAAAAAAACCCGAGGACATCAACGAAATACTTCACGAGCCATGGCAATTTTTGCTCAGTATTCGTATTTTATAGTCACGTATTTTGACAAAAAGATTTTCCATTTCAATGTTTATTTTAGAAAAAAAAAAAAATATTTTTTTTTTGGGGAAAAAATTTACAAAAATATTTATTACTTTAAAATACAATTTTTTTGTTAGAAACGTTTTAATTCGCCTTGAAATTTAATTTCTTCAACTGGAAAATGGTAGGAGGATTCATAATTCTCCAGTAGGCGGAGCTATACTTACACGTGGGCGTGGAAATCACGCCCTTTTGTTCATTTTGATAGTTAATTAGACCAGAAAAATAGAGTAGGCGGATCTGTTCACTTCAATTGTTAATTTATTCAGAAAAGTTGGGTGAGGGGATCCATAATTATGAAGTGGGCGGAGCTCTAGTTATACTTGGGCGTGACAACCACGCCCCTTTGTCCACTTTAATAGTTAAGTAATATATAAAGGTGTAGTAGGCGGAGCTATAGTTACATATGGGCGTGGTAACAACGCCCCTTTATACACTCAAATATTTAATTAGTCGAGAAAAGTAGAGTAGGCGGAACAGTAGGCGGAGCTACAGTTACAAGTGGGCGTGGCAGTCACTCCTCTTTACACACTCAAATATTTAATTAGTCGAAAAAATAGAGTAGGCGGAACAGTAGGCGGAGCTAAAGTTACAAGTGGGCATGGCAGTCACGCCCCTTTATACACTTATATATTTAATTAGTCGAAAAAATAGAGTGGGCGGAGCTATAGTTACAAGTGGGCGTGGCAGTCACGCCCCTTTATACACTCAAATATTTAATTAGTCGAGAAAAGTAGAGTAGGCGGAACAGTAGGTGGAGCTATAGTTACAAGTGGGCGTGGCAGTAACACCCCTTTATACACTCAAATATTTAATTAGTCGAAAAAATAGAGTAGGAGGGATATTTACTATCAGTAGGCAGATCCAAAGTTGCCGGGTGGGCGGGGTTATTTATAGTAGGCGTGTCACTTTTGGTTGTAGGCGGAGTAAATACAATAGTGGGCGGAGCAAAAAAAATTTTTTTTGTTTTTAAAAATAAAAAAAAGTGTAATTTTTCAATTTTTTTCTCCCCCTTTTTTTGTCTCACATAAACGAAATGGAAAACAATAAATAGTATTCGAAGGCACGCACAAGCAAAACTATAAATATTGAGACAGGCGATATATCAGGAAATTGAAAGTTTTCCAATCGAGTGACCAAATTTGTCAGAGGATTTTCTTTCTGTTCGTGTATTTTCTTCTCTTGGTGAAATATCGTCTTCTTTTTTTGAAATAATAAAATTCAAGAGGGAGTTAAAAAAAAATTTTTTTGAAAGAAATGAACAAAATTTTGTGTGAAAATGGAATTTTTGAAATTATTTTGGGAGAATATTTATTGTGTTCAAAGACCCCTTGGCTCAATACACATTTCCTGGCTTATAGTGTGTAACATGTGTAATTCATTGTCCTTGAGGACAGGTCGTTTACCGTTAGTGCATATAATCTCCAATCGATATCGTGAATCTATATAGCTATCTCTCTCACTCTTACTCTCTCTTGTACACTATCATTCCTCCTCCCCCCTCTTTGTCTCACCACCACCCAATGCTATACATTAATGGTATTTCGATATATCGATCGAACTTAATGAGCCTCCACTCATGATAGGGATCTTATACAAGCTTTGATCCCTCGGGAGAATATTCCTCCAGGTGATTATGAACCTCATGTAATTGTTAAAATTTACTATATTAAAAATTTATCTTCATTTACCATATAACAAAACAAAAAATTTTATTATTTTTTTAATTAATTGAAAACAATTTCTAATTATTACTATTATTATTATTAATAAATAATATTAATACTATTAATATATTATTATTATATTAATATTTTTATTATTATATTATAATTAATAAATTAATAATAAAAATAATTGTATAGTAAAAAATTGTTTTTTTATCGAAATTTTTTTTTTAAATTGTTAAAATTTTAAACTACACTGTTAGAGGAAAAAAAATTTATTTTGTTAACTTTCAACGTTTTTCCATTATTATAGGTATATATACAATATATTTATCGTTTCTTTCAAGCATTGACAACTATGCGATAAATTTTTTTTTTTTTTAATAGTTTCTCTAGAAGCATTGACTTGTTGTTTAGACTTTAATACAATATATTCCACTGTTTGTAATGAATTTTTATTAAACAGTGCTCGACAAATATTTAAGTAAAAATAAAAATAAATTATTTATTTGTAAAAATAAAAAAAAAAAAATTTTTTTCAGATGGTGCATCCAATTCAAATGAAGCCAGCCGACAGTGAAAATAGAAATCGTGAGTAATTTTTTTTCTTATCTTTTAATTTCAAAAAAAGAAAGATAAAAAAATATTTTCTTTATTATTATAATTTTTTTTTATTGTATTATTATTAAAAAAAATTTATTTTAAAAATTAATAAAATGATTATGAAAAAAAAGGAAAATTCTAATTATGATGATGATGATGATGATGGTGATGAGATTCGAATAGAAATTAAAAATTTAATAACATTAATCAATTTTCTGAGTTTGTGTCTCAGGAGGAAAATTTAGTTGAGAGCCATAACCTTGTCTGAGAAGGCATATAGATCAAAGCAACTTTATTAAGTGACAATTAATTATCGTAATTGAGGAGGTCTCAGAGACTATAAAGAGTCAAAGAAGCCACATTTGCTACTAACTTCCCATTGAATATCTCTTATAAACCCTTAATACAGATTAGGTAATTTATACCGCACGAATTAATTAATTTGGCAAGAGCCAAATTATTCATTTTTTTATTATTATTACTATTATTATTACTGTTCTTATTATTTGTAATTTTTATTATATTTATTATTAAAATTAATATAATTTTTATTTATTATTATTATTACTACTATTATTTTTATTAATACAAATAACAACAACAATAATAAGAACAGTAATAACAACAGTAACAATAATAATAATAGTAGCAACAACAACAATAATAATAATAGTAACAACAACAACAATGAAAATTATAATAATATCAATAATAAGAACAATAACAACAATAATAACAATAATAATAGTAACAACAACAGCAGTAACAAATTTAATAGTAACAGCAGCAGTAACTATAACAACAACAACTTTAGTAACGCAACAAAAATAACAGTAACGACAACAATAACAATGTTAAAATGTAACTTTAATTACCGTCAATATTTTTTTTTTTTGCATACTACTCGTATGTGTTTTTAATGAATGGTTGGGTGGCTTTTAATTGGGGTGGGTGAGGGAGGGGAGAGGGGTTGATACTAGGTTTTAGAGGGTGGGGGTGGTAGGATAGGTAGAGTGCGAACACTGCATTACTGATGCACAAATTTTGCGACTAACCGCGCCACGTTTCAGGTTCCCTCGAACCATTCATCCATATATATATATATATATATATATATATATATATATATATACATATATATACGAGGCAGTAAAATGTGGCAAAACGTTTGGGCAATTGTATATATATATATATGACGAAATGCTCTAAAATTTTGGGGAAGCGACAGTCCGTGAAAAAGAACGCTAATAAAATATTAACGAACCTGGTCACGTGTCCGACGAACCGCAGCTGTGCAACGAAAAATTGCATTCTATGCGTGAAAAGATTATTTTTCAATATTTTATTATTTTTATTTTTTTTTTGTTTTTACTTTTTTCAAATTATTTATTTTTGTTGTTGTTGTTGTTTTTATATTTTAACCAAGAAATTTAGAAAAAAAATTCATTGTATTACTGTTACAATAGAATATAAAGGGCGGAAAAAAAATCAAATCCATTGGGATTCGAACCTAACATAGTTTTACAGTAAGCAATGACTGAACACTCGTAGCTAAGGTTTACTTTTTTTTTTATTTTTTTTAAATGTTTTACATTTTTTCGTTGTTTTTTCAATGATTATTCATTTGAAATTGATCGAAAAAATTAATTATTTTTAATACAAATAATAAACAAATAATAATTATTGTTTTTAAAAAATTATTTTTATTAAAAAATAAATAATAAGTAAATAATTGTGATAATAATAATAATAATAATAAATATATTTATTTAAAACAGGATTAAATTATTTTTTTAAAAATATATTTAATTGAAAAATAAATTTTCTTTTCTCATACTTGTCAATTTATTGAGACAACTATTTTTTTTTTTTTTTTTTTTTTTCGAAAATGCGATGACAGTTTTTCGTTTTGACTTGAAATAGACAAGAGACCGCACTAACGACGGGTGTGTGTGCGCGGAGGAACGCAAGTTTTATTTATACTTGTGACATTCTGTTTATTTTGGCTGACAGAACACAAGCCCCCATATACCTCAAAAAGTGACTACCGCAACGATCACAAGGTTTTCTTTCTCTGCTACCCCCTCCCCCCACCCTTTCACCCCTCTTCATTCCGTTTCATTATTTTCTTCTCATTTTTCCATTAGAAATCAAATTTTTTATTTTTTATTTACAAAAATATTTTTATATAAAATAAAAAAAATTATTTAGTACAAATAATTATTTTTACAAATAAATAAAAAAAATTATTTATAATAAATGAATTACTAAAAACTATATATATATATTTTTTTTTACAAATTTTTTACTGCCTATGGTAATAGATAAAAATGACCTCGACCAATATAATATGCAATATTACATAGGTAGTATATTTTTTTTATCTAATCAAAAAAAAAAAAAATAAAAAAAAAGAATAACGATAGCCAACTAGATGTCCAATATTGTCCAATTTTTGTCAATTATTGCGCCGATTTAAGTTATATAAAAAAAATCATTCTATTGTAACCCAATATTATTGTCACAATATTATGCAAAAATAATTTTTTATTTTAAATAATTTTTTTTATTATTCTTATTATTTATAATTTATTATTTTTATTATTGTTATTGTTATTATTATTATTATTATTGTTACTGTTGTTGTTACTACTATTATTGTTTTTTTTATTATTGTTATTACTGTTATTTTTTATCATTTTTTGAAAATTATTATTAACAAATACTATTATTTATTTTAAAAAAAATTAACAAAAAAATTATTAAAAATTATTAACAAACAAACTATTATAAAAAAATATAAATTATTACTGATTTTTTTCAAATCTCTTAAAATTTAATACGAATAATTTAAAAAAAAAATTTTTATATATAAAAAGAAAGGTGGAACAAAAGGAAAGAGGTGGAAAACATTCTCTCTCTCTCTCTCTCCCTCTCTCTCTCTCTAGAAATATATATGTATATTATATTAAATGCGGGAAAAATTTTCCGTGTATTATAATAAGGCAAATATTGAAAAAAATATGCTGAATCATTTGTGAAGCAAAAAAAAAAAAAGAAAAAGCAGGAGAGGAAAGAGAAATACATCTGAATTTAAAGGGAAAATCTCAATTCACGTTTTAATCTGCAAAACCGTGCCAAGCACGTGCTGCTGCTTTGCTTCTCTCTCTCTCTCTCTCTTTCGATTCAGCGAACTTACACATTCAGGAGAGTCTAAAAGTTATGGCGGACCTTGACTCTCGCTATCGTTCCTCATAAATTGAATTCCATTTCCCCCCACTCCACTTCTCTTCAATTTTTTTTCCACTTTATATCCTCGCTTTACCCCCCCCCCCTCCTCTTTCACTCTGCAAATCCGCATAGGATGAGAATTCAATAAAAATTAATTTTCACTACTTTTACAAAAATATAATATCAATATTTTTTAATTTTACGAATTTTTTCCCCTTTCTTTATATATAATTATAATAATATAGAAAAAAAAATAATAATTTTAATATATTTCGCAGTTTTTATTTTGATATTGTTTCGTTTGATTGATTTTTAAACCAATTTTCATTATTATTTGTGAATAACAATTTTTGTAATTAGAATTTTTAATTGAGTGTTTATAAAATCGATTAAGTGGGAAAAATTGAGGAGAAAATGTATTTAGAATTTTTTTCGTAGACTTAGTAGTTTTTGAGTAAATGAGATTTTAAATGTGTGGCGCCGAACGGCCGAGAGCCAAGGAGTAGGGGAATGACGCTACGCTTGGGTAGAGTCGCGCCGAACGAAATATTTTTTAACTATAAATCCTTCTAACTCGAAAAATACTACACTTAGGAAAATTTGTATAAAAAAATTTTATCTTCAGTTTTTAATTAGGAATCCAACGATACTTTATTTGATTAAAAACTATTTTTTGTATTTATGTATTTATTATTTTTTCATTTTTTGTATAGTATTTTGGTTTTTTTAGTTTATTAATTTTCATATTATATTCTATTTAATATTTATGTAATAATATTTAAATATTTTTTTAATTTAATAATTCTATTTATTTAAATATATTTTTGTATTTATGTATTTATTTATTTATATATTTATTTATATTATTTAAATTTTTTTACATTAATAATTTTAGTATTATTATTATTATTATTATTAATTTTTTTTCTTTAAAATCAAGTTGGAAAATTTATTGTATAATTTTTTTCTATCTCGCAATTTTTGTGCCCTTTTTTTATCGGTTACAAGAGCCGATAGAGAGCCTATTTGAGAATGTTATCTGAGCGTCACGATGACGAGTCGATCGAGCGAGTGCTAGTTCTGCGATCAATCGACCTGAAATAAGTCGAGAAAAAACCATCGAATCGTAAGTAAAACCCGTGTGTGCAGACTAGGAATATCCAATGAAAAAAAAATGGTTCTCTTTGAATCTCGTATTTCGTTTTCCCCCTTTTTTTTGACGTCAAATCTTCAAAAAAAAGTTACTTGTTTTTTTTCATTTTTTTCAAATAATTTTATTGCTGACAACGTAATATTTTTTTTAATAATACATATTACTTGCAAGTAATAGATAAATTAATAATTAAAAATAAAAATAAATTGTTCTATGGAATTTGTTGAGAAAAACTAAAGAAAAAAGTTATTTACAAAAATTTTCGGCGAGGTTTAGTTTTGGAGATAGAGCAATTTTTAGTTCGCGAATAAAAATTGACACTGCAGTCCTAGACTAGGTCACGTAGACCCATCCCCTCTTCTCATCTAACGGCCGTGCTACGTCTAGCATTAAAATCAAACAATTTTCAGTTAGTAAATTAAAAATGACGCGTTAGTCCTACACTAGGTCTCGCAGACCCACCCCCTCTCCTCATCTACCGGCCGTGCTAGGCCTAGCATTAAAATCACTATAAATTAAAACTGATTTATTCTTTGACAAAATTTGAAAAACATTTTCTTCTTAGTTTTTAATTTAATTTAATAATAAATATAATAAAAATAAT